ATATATATATATAATCTGTAGTCTTACATGAGTTACTTTATGAGAGGATATATAAATATTAATAAAAATTCAAGAGAAACAAATAGAATTTGTAATTTGAATTTTTTTTTTCTTATTAAAAGCTATCATATTCTGGTTCCTAAAGTAGCTACATTTTTTTAAATGTTACCTGGAAACGTTTAATGTTAACATCTTGTCGATTTTGATTATTCTCATTTCATTTTAAAATCATAAATCTTTCGACAGTTTAATATTTGATATATTTTAAAATGGAATAGAGTTTTCCATTGTTAAGTTTTACTTTGGATATCATAAAATTTTTATTTTTAAATTTACTATACGTTATATTATATTTTGTATTCATAATAAATTATTATATTTTAGCTAGTTCAACATTTATTTTTATGATACAGTATTATTTTATATTTTATTTATTTATTTTTATTTTTATTTTTGTAATTGTCTCGAATTTAACAATGCATTCAAATTTAGTTTACTCTCGAATTAAAATAAGAAAATCGTTTTCTGATAATATCATTTCTAATTTTAATTCGTTGATATTGTTAAATGTTTAAAGCGTTAATTGACTTTCGCCTGTCAAATCTTCCTGTGGTTGTTTAATCTCTTCAAATTTTAAATAAATGAATGAATAACTTAATATACATATTCAATCTTAAAACTAATAAAGTTTTAAAATTATTTTATTGAAAAAAAATATATGCTTTTAACATTAATTAAAACTTAAATCAGTATTCTTTTAAGTGAATAATCTTAATTAATTAAATGCTTAATATTAGCGAAGTTGCGGCCGAAGTTTTCATCTTTAAAACGTGAACGTCAAACGTCGAGTGCCGCGCTCGACGTTCGACGTTCACGTTTTAAAGACGAAAACTTCGGCCGCAACTTCTCTATTAATTATTGTAGTTTTATATATAACTTGTTAATTAATTATGTTTGAGGAATTATTAGCCTACATATTTTTTATATTTAAATTTTGTTGGTATCTTGATGTACTGTACACTTAATTGAGAGTAGACAAATAACATGTTTGCTATATATATATATATATATACAGCAAACACAATATATATATATATATACTATTATTTAAATAAAATGTCATATCAGAAAATAATTACGATAGAAAAATTAATAAATTTACATACTACTATAAAGATAAGTAATCTTAGCTTAATATCTCAGAAAATAAATTTTAATATCATGCGATAATGTGAAAATCACATTAACTGGACAAACTGATGAATAGGAATCAAACATTAGACATTGCCTCGCATTTAAAATACGTAGACATATGGCTATCCTCATTAGAGATGTTATCTTAGATATGGACAAACAAAATTCTAAATTTGGACTAACTTAATTATTAACTTTGAAATCAAATTATAAATGAACTCTCTTCAAAAGTTATTAAAATTATCTATTTAGTAAGATGATTATATTTATTGCATTTGAATTTCTTTTGAAGATTTTTATACTTAACAGATACATTATAGAACAAAACAATTCAATGTTGTAATTGTTTAAAACAAACAATAACAGTAGTCATACAAAAATACCAAATTAAGTTTATTTAAGTTTAATAAAGGTATTAAAAGAAGAAATCGTGTAAGATGAGAAAAATTGATCACAGATTCTAACAGAAGCTTGGGTGTGGTCTTCACATTCAAGCTACTGTTGGCATGTAACCATTTTCTGATACGAACTGATAAATCCTCGACTCGCGCGTATTTTAATAAGCAACACGTTAAAATTACATAAAAATGTTGCGATTTGTGATTAATTTTTATAATTAATTGTATGGATTAAAACTATATTTTTTTTTAATTTCACATAAAAGTTTGAACAACAGGAAAGATTGTTGGTGAAGCTTGGATATTTGCTGTTAAAATTAAAAATTAGTGTTTTTTTTTTTTTTTTTTACTGAATCTCTCAATAGTTTAACTTTTGCTAGAATTGAATAGGTATAGTGCTCCTTTAACACATTTACTGTGACATTTTTGTAATAAGACATTATGCATTTTTTATGAAAACATTGCTCATTAAAACATATTATTTAGATTTTAAAAAATGCAAATGATATTAATTTAACTTGATTGTTCTTTTCATTCTGGCAATGAATTGAAATTCAAATATAAAATCAAAATTTATTGCATCTTATTTTTACTTTTGAAATAATTTGATAAATTCATTTTCAGACCCGAAAATATTGAAGATGGAACTTTGGCATTTTTGTGCGAAACAATAATGTCGTCGAACAACATAGCTCTGAATATTTGTACAGAATCTGTCTCAACATCCGATTCATTACCGATTACCACTCTTCAGACAAATATGGAAAGTGTGTCACAGAATCACGTAAATCTCTCTGAAGAAAGTGCACTGAAGGTAAGATAACATATTGGCGTCATACATACATTTATTTTTAATTGTTATTTATATAGAATTTATATGATTTTAGGGAAATCTTATAGAAGAAAATGAAAGTTCTATAAATAATAATAATAAAGCACAGAAACTGAAAGATTTAACTACAAAAAAGCAAGAGGTTTGCATTTATTTAATAAATCATTCAATTACTTATATAATTCTTATATTGTGATATATTCTGATATTTTAGTTTTGTACATGCTAATTTAATTTTATAAAATATAAAATTATCTACCAGTTATAATATCCATACTTTGTAATGAACAGTTAAACAAATTATTCTGTGTAATTATGACTTATAAATTTTAAGTATTTTTTTTAGTAGTTTAACATGTGTTAAGTATTTTCATGTTCAGACGAATATATTTTCTATAAAATTCCTAAAATAAAGAGATTGTAGTTAATCCATTTATAATTAATGGATTCTGTAGAATCATTTATCCTTTCCATTTTGTAACAAAAAAGAAAATGTTTGAATGTTCATTAAATATTATAGATGTTATTAACAGATTTAAAACCTTTCCATTGATAGTTTTCTTTAATATAATACTTAGTTTCTTTTTTTGTGTTAAATACAAAGTCTTCCATTACAAATGAAAATATATGATATACAGGTTCTTTGAAAACAAATGCTACTATTTTAAATTACTTTAATTATGTTAATTATTATCTGAGAAATATGCAACATAACACCAATCAATAGAGTAATCATCTGATCTCCCATACGCATTCGAGCATCTCATCGCATACTACCTGTAGGAAACATTGCTAGCAAGTGGCTATTCCACAACAGAGAAGGCAGTGTGTGTTCCGCAGCATACAAAGTCATTATCACTCATCATCGTGCAACACAAGTAATCCATATGAGCCATAGAATTGTGGCTGTGGCTGCTGTGAGAGGAGTGACACTGGGTATGCCATAGCCTGTGTAAGAATTTGTTCCATGTGACAAGAGGTGCACACATTGAGAAATTGTGATGGGCAAATGCAAAACTTGAACAGTTTTCCAATGTTTTAACTTATGTTACAACATCCTTGAATAATAATTAAAATGGTAGCATTCTTTTTGGAAGATCCTGATGTATAGATTTTCTAATTTTGTGTTTCAGCTAGTACAATATTGAAATTATTCTTCTAATCTGTGGTTTTTAACATAAAAAAAAAAGTATTATTAAAACATTCAACTATTGTATTGAAATTGTGCAAAATGAAATTATTCTGAATCCAAATATTCAGCATTTATTATTAAAAAAATAATAGATTTAAAATTTTGTAACCTACCATCATCCAATTATATTGATTTTCTCAGACTGCATTTTATAGATTTAAGTCTTGGGAAATGTTTAGAATTCCAAATATATATATTAATATATATACACACAAACAATTTAATGAATTAGAATTGTAATTTTTAATTATGTTTCTTTCTCAAATTTAATGTAGAAAATTTTATGCAACATTATTTCATTTTAGACGCAAGATTCAGTAACATCACAAGTATTACCGGCCTTAGAGAATGATGCAGAAGAACAGCAACAACTTACTTTTAGCATTCCTTTTAACAATACATCCTCGTTAGAAATGACAAATCAGCCACTCTTATCTCATCAGGTATTTAAATTTCCAATTCTTCTTTATTGTTTAATAAATTATAACCGCTCAAATATGTAACGTATTTCAGGTGATAGTCGAGGGATTAAAGGGAACGCAAGTGCTTTCGAATCTGGGAAGCGTAATCGTGATACATTCGCCATTAAAAGTGATCTCAAGTAATGGGAATGGCATTGGTTCTGGAGATTCCATCAAGCAGCAGATCATAACGGTAAACATGACAATTAACATTACGCATTTAGACATTTAACGTTGCAGCATAATTTACAAAATTTTTTTTCTTTATTTTGCAGCTGCAAACCCATCCAATCACAGATTCTCATTTGTCACAATAGTAAATGTGTTTTTTATATCCAGATTAGGAAACCTCTGGTTTTTACTTTCCCGGCTGTTATGTATACATAATGAGGGAAAGTATTGAAATTGTGTCAAATTTGACCCTTGGAGCTTTTTGCAAATCTCCACATTTTGACCCCTCCCAAGTCCAAGTAAAAAGAAAAGGCCAAAAAAAAATTTGGTGTGTTGGCATCTGTTNTTTTTCTGACCCTTTTTTTCTTCTAGAGGCGTAGTTGCTTTAAGTTTTGATTTGCGAAACTTGGATATTAACCAGTGTGCAAATGACGATTCTCTGTTTGCTGGGACTCATAAATGTGAACGAATTACTACAAGGGTAAGTTAGTAATTTATATTTAAACGAGCAATTATTTATTGTCGGACTGCAATTTTTAATTTATTTAATTTAAAATATATGCTCTCCATCTTAAATTAATAGTGCCTTGCCCCTGTAAATCATACTTTTCCTTTAACAATAGAGTTGTGCAGTTCATCTATCTAACACCTTTTGGAGGAAAATTTTTGAATTGAAATAACATAACTTTTATTTTATATCGTAAGTTCGTGTATAGTTAATCGGAGTTTTCTACCCCAAATGTTTCCATATCTGGTCTCGACTTTTATCTATCTAACTCTGTTCTCTATATTAAGGAAAGACAGGCAGACGGACGATAGTGGTCTACAATTTTTTTCAAATTGCAGTCCAATTATTTTAAATACTTTCTGGGGGATAATTTTAATATATTATTTCGTAATGATACGTTTCTTAGAAGTAAGCGGTATATCAAGTTTATTATGTATAATTTGATTTATTTTATTTCAATATATTCAATATATATATATATATATATATTGAAAAATCTAATGGAACAGTAACATATCTATGGCAGCCAATTCAATCTTCGACAATAAAAGCTATACAAATTATTTTAATGCAGAAAATAATACAAAGCAATTCATGAAATTTTTAAATATTTAAATTATTTAATTTAAATATTTAAAATCAAATTTGAATTTTTGATTTTGAAAATTTGATTTTTGAAATTTGAAAATTTGATTTTTAAATAAATAAATAAAAATATAGTTAAAATATGCGATGCATCAGACGATTCACTCAACCGTTATTTCATATGAATTCACACAATTAATAATAATAAAAATAAATTTTATATAATTATATTATTATTATTTCAATTGCCTAATTTTCAGTAGCGTGCCGTGACATTTGATGATAGGGAAGATGCGTTTCTGTAAGAAGCCGACTTCCAGGGGCAATCAGTCAACGACGGTCTAGGGTTCATTCGTATTCGTTTGTTCGATAAGCCAGTAAAATCGTACACTTCTTTAAATGTATTTTTAATTAATAGATTATCTAACGCACTTAATAAATAAGCAAGTTCAATATAATTACATCTGTTATATTAGATTCAATAGATTCCCTA